GGATTGAGGCTATGTTGGGTGAAAAACTGTGACAATAGATTTCTGCTTTATGACAAATCGCAGAAACACGACAGGAAGCGAAGAAGACTTATGAAAAAAAATAGAAAATTTCGTCAGGTCTACACTGGAAAACTGAGCAAGGGATTAAGAAATTGAATCCAAAAATATAACTTTCACTTATCTTTTCAAAATCGTGCTGCGCGCGCTCCTGCTGTCTTGGTTGAAATTGAAACAGTGATGTTCTTATAGGTTTCAGAACGAAAATGACAAAATAGTGGTGGTCCTGCCTTTGACAACCGATATAATTTTCCAGTTCGCAGCACAATTTTGGCCAATTTAACCTAAAGATCGTCCACACACGAAAAAAATATTTCCATGAGGGAGCTGGACGATCGAGCAAAATGCGCAAAGTTCAAGACGTCCGTAAGTCCTCCAAACAGTTTCTGTCATCAGGTTTCCTGAGATAGGTAACGTACAGCTCACGCGCAGCTTAATTTCAAAGATAAGTGAAGCTTTGCCTAAACTTTGATATACTTAATCAATTAATGCCTATTGTTGTCTGAGTCCTTTTTGAAAGTCGCTTTTCACTAAGGGATATTATTTTTTCCAGTCTTGTTAGACATTCTGGCAAAGTAGTCGTATTTTGTGCAGTGCCTTTTTAGTGACTCCTTGTCAGACTATCTCTTTCTAAATCTGTAGTAAACTAACAGTAGTGTTTGCTATTCTGTGCGTTTTTCTGTATGTCAGCAACGTTTTGATCCTTGTACTGCAACGGAAAACCTATCTAGTACCCTGTAATGCCCGAAGAACACGTGCTAAACGACGAAAGCTTGCGGACTCCGCATCGACTCTGAGTGCTAGAATCGTGGCCGGAGACCAGCAGGTGCCAGCATGTGCTCGCTGCCTTCTGTGGCTATGGTTAACTCAAAAATCCCTTTAGACCAAGTAGAACCTCTCGACCCCTTAATCGTCCAAAACTGCGCCTCTCTTAGTCGTAACAGAACACCGGTCGACGAAATACTCAATCGGTTGATATATGGCGATATGATCAGCAATTCTCGTAAAGTAATTGAATAAGCGTTTAAAGTCATTGGAGTAAAAAGTTCTGAAATCGAGAAGAGAATAAAACACAAGCACAATTTTATACTGCGAAACATTCCGCGTCACTTATCTGCTAAAGAGGGAGCGCATTTGTTTCTTCAAAGTTGTGGCTTGGGTCTCAGTGCCGCGCGAGCTAAACCACTGCGCTCGTTCAGTCGTAATGCGCCGATCTTAGTCATCCTTTTCTCCTTGATAGAAGTCGATTTTATCTTATCGAGGAGGGAGATAACTAGAGTATTCGGCCGTAAATGGCGCTGCTCAGTTTCGCCTGACCTCACACCAATGCAGCGAAGACTGAACAAATTGAAATGGTCAAAAACCAAAACCGAGATAATGACACCGATTGTCAGTTTGAATAAGCCCTCTTCATTATTATCATCATCTGCGGCCTCTGCACGCCACGGCATAGTCAATTCCGTAGGGAATTCGATTACTCGTGATGATGCGATCTTTAAACGCATAAAAACGCCTGGTATAAAAACGCCTCTACCGGCTCTCCTAGCAACCCCTAGCAAGCCTAAGCGTGTGCCTAAGTCAAAGGCGAATCCAACTGCCGTCTCAGTCACTCGGACTCCTGCTAAATCCAGCTGCATTATGAAATCTATTTCTCCGCAATCGGCTAACACTGCCTCAAATACCACGGCCCAAAACGTAGCGTGTTTCCAACTAACCACTCCCCCCCAGCTCTCACATCGAGGGGGTTAGGCCGAATATGCCGACATTCCCGCCTTTTAATAAAATTCTTTCTCCGATGGAAGCAGTGCTTCCCTACCACCCATCATTTTTCGTCCACGGCCATTTTACCAATGCATTCCTCATGTCAATGCCCATACTGGGACAGTTAACTCATCCGCTCCTCCGTTTCCTTCTGGCGGGTATAAGTTAGAATATCCGGCCCGTGGATTTCCATCCGAAAATGGCGTAGCTAACAATGGTCGCCAGTTTCCCTGCCTGTCATTTCCTCCCCCAAGACCTATCCTTCCATGCCACAAAATGTTTTGCAGAATCGCATGTGTGCATCTGGACAGTGTGTTTTGTGGGCAGCCAAGCACCGGACGACGTAGCCCACATCCCTCAGAAACAAACAGTCTTTCCTTTCAAACTTTTTGTTCTGAATGCCTTATCCTTGCTAAATAAGATGCCTTTGCTTCAGACTCTGGTGTTCGTCCACCATCCAGATATTGTTTTAGTAAAGCTGACTCCAAACTCTCTCTTCTAGGCTATAATTGCATTCGGATTGATCGTCAAGACAGTCGTGGTGGGGGCAGTTGCGTCTATGTTAAGCAAACACTTACATTTTTTCCGTTGGAGCTCCCGTACATTTCCACGATAGAAGACAACTGTTGGCTCCAGGTAGCACTAAAAAATAAGTTCTCCTTACTCGTTGGCTGCGTCTATTGTCCTCCCAACGCCAACGAAAATTTTGATCGTTTACTCTCGCAGGTATTTAATGCTGCGTCCTAATAAACTTTAAGTATCAAGTGGTTTCGAGTGACTTTAATCTACCTAAAGTCCGCTGATCTTCGACTTCCGGCCCCAGAAGTATTGAAGTCGTTCTTGAGGCTGTGAATGTTGGGATGTGAAGCCAGGTTGTCGATTTTACTACTCGAGGATCAAGCATACTTGACCTAATTTTCTGTAGAGGATACATGCCCGTGCCAGTGTCATCCCTAGGACAACTCGTGGGCTCAGACCAGAACATAGATGTTTGATCGTTAGAACTCGAGGCTGACAACACGTTGTCCTCAAAGTATAGCTCTTTACGCGACCTCTGATCAGCTCGCTCGAACAAATTATTAACACACATTAATTCCTCCGACTGGACTGATTTCTTCATTTGTTCGGATGTAAATGTTTGCATTGCTAAATTGTACGAAATTTTGGATCCGCTTATTTCTCGTATTGTCTCCCCTAAGAAACAGCTTAATGTCAATTACGTGTCCAAAAACTTTTATGAAAACTCGAACACTCCGGTTCCGACTACACAGGTAATGACAGGGGCAGTTCCCAAAAGTATGACCAGCACTATGTGGGATGTGACCGATGAAATTCGGCATATTCGTTAGGGCCATAGCACTGGAACGGATGTTGTCCAGGTAAGAAACACAAAAGACGACCCACAAAAAAAATTCCAAACACTCAGATGCAAAAAAATATAAACAGCATCTAAAAATAAAAATATCCTACAATGTGGGAGAAAACATACAAAATGCCCAAAAAAGGACAACAAAAGACACTTGAAGATTTAGGCCAAAAAACACGCAAAAGGCAAATGAGAAAATCCTAGAGAGAGTGACAGAAAGATAGGACGATCTGTCAATTAAACAACCATTACATAAGAAGAGCTAAAAAACATAAATAGAGCTAAAACCGGAATAACGAAAAGAATCAAAATCATACATAAAAGTAAAATTTAAGACGGAAGAAGAGGCATGGCACTTCATTTCTGCCCAGGGAACGACACAACTGCACAGGCAATCGTGTAACTAGAGGGCACAGCCCCTTCCCCCTTCTCACCCTGCATCCCTCATACCACACCCATCCTCACTAGCCAACATCACCACCAGCACAGTGTGGCGTGACCACCTCGCTGAAGCCACCAACAACCTCCTCCATCTTCAGTTAACACATCTACCTACACCGACCAGCCGCCTTCTCCCCAGCCCATTCTGCACACGACACCACTTACTCACACGCCTGCATCACATCATTTACTACGGCCCTTGTCCCCATGTACACATCCACTCTCCTCCGCTTTCATCACCGGTCCCCAGCCACCACACGCACCTCCATCACTCCACCTGCGCTGCCTCCTCCGTCAGAATCGACGACCATCATCACGTCCGCCGCCGCCGCCGCCGCCGCCGCCACCACCACCACTGCCAGATGTATTGCTGGCCTTCGCCTCATATGCATTACAGCTAAGAGGCTAGCGCAGCATCCACTTCACTCTCGCCTCCCACAACCATCATCTGCCCATGTCATGACGACTGAGGATGGGCATCGCGACGGTCACTGATAGGACATCCAACAGTAACCACATAGGCCCACCCCTCAGCTCACATCCATCGGACTTCAATCATTGCAAATATCCCATCACTGAGCCGCTCCAAGGACCCATGATCAAAGGGACAA